AATAAGCATACTGCATACACAAATAGTACAGTTAGTGCGGTTATGCTGAGTACATCTACTAAACTACTAATTTTTGTTTTATCGGTTTTGCTTTTCTGTTGATAGAATGCTAACATCAAAACGCTGGTGTATTGAGCTTTTGTTTTTTCTTTTATGTAATTGTGCCAACTCACAATAGCATCTCTGAATTCTTTATTAGATTGGAATTGTCCGTCAGCAGGGAAATGCTGCCCAATTTGATCCGATTAGATTTCTTTTCCATATTCAAGCCGAATTGGTAGAATTATCTTGCACTTCTTTTACTGCCTCTATGGCTTTGCTATAATTTACCTCTTCTATTCCTACTTTTACGGGAGTGTCAGAAACAACGGATTACATTTTAATGGTGGTTATTTCTGCGCGTCTCTCAACGGTGTCCAGAGTTTAGATTTCCTCACTCACAGCTCTAATATATGCCAATTTCTTTTTAAATTCCAAGGTAGTGATACCCACTTCCCCGGAGAGTAGTTATGGAATTTGTGCCTTTTAATTGGTCACGGCACCTAAATCCTTGTATTAGAACCAATACTGAAGCGTCTGCCAATTTACTACTGGAGGATATGGGAGACCTAATTTCTTATACCAGTCTCATGTTTCAAATATCACTGCTGTTGACAACTCATATTACCAAAATTTGGGTCCATCGTCCGTCCATAATATAAATTTCTCGTCAATACACACACACTCAGGGAGAGAAAAAACCTACACAAAACAAACAGTATTTGGTTAGGAACGTCTTCCTTTCTTATCATTTAAAAGGAGTCATTTCTTCTACATAAAAATGTTTTAATTATTTATATTTATAATTACTCTATGTAATTTTAAATGTTTTACCCACATGGTAGTTCCTCCTATGCACATTTCCGTGTAGGGTTTACATTTATAGCTGGTTTCCCAATCATAACCAACTGTCACGATCGTTGACTGAAGACACGGACCAAGGCGCAGCGTGATAAGCGTACATACTTTTATTTAACGTACTTAACGACAAAAAACAACAAACAAACAATATGTGAAGTCCTGAGGTTATGACACAACAAACCTTTACGGATCAAGATCCCACGAAGACTAGTGCAAAACAGGCTGCCTAAGTATGGTCCCCAATCAGAGACAATGAGCTACAGCTGCCTCTGATTGGGAACCACCCTGGCCAACATAGATAGAACGATCTAGAACAAAAACATAGAAAAACTAAACATAGCAAATCCACACCCTGGCTCAACATTTAAGAGTCCCCAGAGCCAGGGCGTGACAGTACCCCCCCCCCCCCCCCCCCCCCCCCCCAAAGGCGCTGACTGCGACCACGCCACACAAACACAAGAGGGTAGGGGCCGGGTGGGCATTCCGCCTCGGAGGCGGATCCGGCTCCGGGCGTGACCACCACTCTCTCTCCACCCCCCCGTTGCGCCCCTGATCTGGTCTGGCCCCGCTGGCCGGAGCTGGACTGGACACCGGTGGAGCGGATTACTCTGGCTCCGGAGTGGATCTGCTGACTGGAGTTGGACCGGACCCCGGTGGAGCGGATTGCTCTGGCTCCGGAGTGGAGCAGCTGACCGGTGCCGGACCAGGCACCGGTGGAACAGGCACGGGCCGTGCCGGACTGGACACACGCACCACTGGCTTGGTGCGGGGAGCAGGAACGGGCCAGACCGGGCTGACGACGCGCAACACTGGCTTGGTGCGGGGAGCAGGAACGGGCCGGACCGGGCTGACGACGCGCACCACTGGCTTGGTGCGGGGAGCAGGAACAGGCCGGACCGGGCTGACAACGCGCACCACTGGCTTGGTGCGGGGAGCAGGAACAGGCCGGACCGGGCTGGCGACGCGCACCACTGGCTTGGTGCGAGGGACAGGAACAGGCCGGACCGGGCTGACGACGCGCACCACTGGCTTGGTGTGGGGAGCAGGAACAGGCCGGACCGGGCTGACAACGCGCACCACTGGCTTGGTGCGGGGAGCAGGAACAGGCCGGACCGGGCTGGCGACGCGCACCACTGGCTTGGTGCGAGGGACAGGAACAGGCCGGACCGGGCTGACGACGCGCACCACTGGCTTGGTGCGGGGAGCAGGGACAGGCCGGACCGGGCTGACAACGCGCACCACTGGCTTGGTGCGGGGAGCAGGAACAGGCCGGACCGGGCTGGCGACGCGCACCACTGGCTTGGTGCGAGGGACAGGAACAGGCCGGACCGGGCTGGCGACGCGCACCACTGGCTTGGTGCGAGGGACAGGAACATGCCGGACCGGGCTGGCGACGCGCACCACTGGCTTGGTGCGGGGAGCAGGAACAGGCCGGACCGGGCTGACAACGCGCACCACTGGCTTGGTGCGGGGAGCAGGAACAGGCCGGACCGGGCTGGCGACGCGCACCACTGGCTTGGTGCGAGGGACAGGAACAGGCCGGACCGGGCTGACGACGCGCACCACTGGCTTGGTGTGGGGAGCAGGAACAGGCCGGACCGGGCTGACAACGCGCACCACTGGCTTGGTGCGGGGAGCAGGAACAGGCCGGACCGGGCTGGCGACGCGCACCACTGGCTTGGTGCGAGGGACAGGAACAGGCCGGACCGGGCTGACGACGCGCACCACTGGCTTGGTGCGGGGAGCAGGAACAGGCCGGACCGGGCTGACAACGCGCACCACTGGCTTGGTGCGGGGAGCAGGAACAGGCCGGACCGGGCTGGCGACGCGCACCACTGGCTTGGTGCGAGGGACAGGAACAGGCCGGACCGGGCTGGCGACGCGCACCACTGGCTTGGTGCGGGGAGCAGGAACAGGCCGGACCGGGCTGACAACGCGCACCACTGGCTTGGTGCGGGGAGCAGGAACAGGCCGGACCGGGCTGGCGACGCGCACCACTGGCTTGGTGCGAGGGACAGGAACAGGCCGGACCGGGCTGGCGACGCGCACCACTGGCTTGGTGCGAGGGACAGGAACAGGCCGGACCGGGCTGGCGACGCGCACCACTGGCTTGGTGCGGGGAGCAGGAACAGGCCGGGCTGGACTGGGAACACGCACCATTGGCTTGGTGCGGGGAGCCGGAATGGGCCGGGCCGGACTGTGGAGGCGGACTGGAGGTCTGAAGCGGAGAGCTGACACAACCCGTCCTGGCTGAATGCCTATTTCCACACAATATGTGTGAGGCATCAGCACAGGACGTACAGGGCTGTGCACTCGTACTGGCGCTACAGCACGTGGCACTGGCGCAATATATACGGGACCGAGGAGGGGTACTGGAGGCCACGAGCGTTGAGCCGGCACACCCCGTCCTGGCTGCATGCACAGGACGTACAGGACTGTGCCGGAACACTCGCGGCACAGTACGTGGCTCCGCCAACCACCCTTTTAGCCCCCCCAAAAAAAATTTGGGGGCTGTCTCTCGGGCTTCCTCCTCGGCCGGTACCCTCTGCGTTGCCGCTGCTCCTCTCTGTAGCGCGCCTCCACAGTCTCCTCTCCTGCCTGGGCATTCACCTTTGCCCATGGCCCTTTGCCCGCGAATATCTCCTCCCAAGACCACCATTTGCCCACCTGGGACATCGCCATCTTCTCCTCCTGGGCACGCTGCTTGGTTCTCTTATGGTGGGATCTTCTGTCACGATCATTGACTGAAGACACGGACCAAGGCGCAGCGTGATAAGCGTACATACTTTTATTTAACGTACTTAACGACAACAAACGATACGTGAAGTCCTGAGGTTATAACACAACAAACCTTTACGGATCAAGATCCCACAAAGACTAGTGCAAAACAGGCTGCCTAAGTATGGTCCCCAATCAGAGACAACGAGCTACAGCTGCCTCTGATTGGGAACCACCCTGGCCAACATAGATAAAACGATCTAGAACAAAAACATAGAAAAACTAAACATAGCAAATCCACACCCTGGCTCAACATTTAAGAGTCCCCAGAGCCAGGGCGTGACACCAACTGTTTTACCAGTCCACTGATTAATTCATTTCTTTTACACAATATTTGTTTTAACCTGCAGGAATATTTTCTTACTTCTATCTCAGGATTGTGCCCTGGGATCACATAACTCGTAACCATGTCAAGTCATCCCATGGCCGCTTCTCTGATCAACCCTAACCTGCTCCAACAGGGCAAGTCGTCCCAGAATTTCTCCTTTAATTAAAGATATCTCTCCTCCAACAGAGTTCCTAATAAAAAATGATAGGACTTCCCTTATTAGAAATAACTCTGCTACAACAGAGTTTCTAACTAGGGGTGTCTTTTGCGCCAACAAAATACCTAATGTGCACAACCTGTTCCCAGAACAGGACTTTCTATGATGTTTGAAAGAAAATCAGTCTCACCCTTAACTCTGTACGTTCGGGATGGCGTATCCGTCCACTTCCTGCCGGGTCCGAGGTGGATCCCTTCTATTCCGCTTAGTTAGAGTGTGAGCTCCCTGAGCCACGCCTAACGTAGCCCCCGTACGGTTAACCCTGGTCTCCCCGGGAGAGATCAGCAGACGGAGTTAGCCATCCCATCCTCGTCGTCAACTTGTGGTGGAAATTCTAACCGAAAGGAGAGAGACTGTAGATTCTTCAAACAGCAACTTTATTATAAGATTAGCAAAAATTGAGCAATTCAACAATCACTCAAATAGTTACGAGTTGAAAAGCCCAACAAACAGAGTTGGCTCTCTCCTTTCATAGAAAGTACATCCTCTTGTCTATGTGACAGTTATCAGATGTGCAGAAAAAGGGCCGGGGAAGTTGTTAAAAGTAATGTAGCTAATCTGTGCAGATCAAGATAGCTTATATCGCCACCATTCTCTGTTCCTCCCTGCAAACGGCTCATAAATCTGTACGCTCATATTTATGACTAAGTCACATAAGACAAGTTTGTATCAGTATAAAATACTAGCAGATAACAATGGACAATTCTTTCAGTATAAAACAGCATAGTATGTCTATTTAAACAGTATACTATGTCATTAATTAATTTCCTCCACAGGTGGAGTTGCCAGGAACTCCTGCAGCTCTCCCAGGAGAGGCAACGGCAGAGGCAACAGTTGACTCCAGACGTAGTGCCTGCCCCTAACCTGCAGGTGGCGACCTACTGCAAGGCTTGCTTCATAGCCCTATCCTCTCAGGACAGGTCTTTCAAACACTGTGCCTCCTTGGGGCACACCCAGATGATCTCCGGGGACACAACCACGGGGTGGAAACATCGTCCCCCACCTCACAGCCGCAAAGCAGAGTTTTGGCTGTGCGAAAGGTAAACCTGTTTTTGTAAACAAGGAGCGACACCTATGTCTGCGAACACTGCAAAGCCTAAAAGTGCAATCTGTATGATAGTGATTGATGCATATGTAAATAGACCTTATTGTCTATAAGTTATCAATTAGACATATTCTTTAAAAAACATTTATACGTCTCATTATAGTTTGCACTGCCATTTTTTCTCAGGCCTGACACATGTGAATATGGCACCAACTGCGTGAAAGCTCACTCTGTGGAGGAGCTTGAAGAGTGGCTAATGCGAGCCAAAGAGGACAAGGAGATAGGCCTCATGTCTTACAGGGAACGTCTCTTAGAGGAGTACAGACATAGCAGCAATGAAGTGCACATTGTAAGTCATCATAGTTCAGATGAGGAAAAATTTCTCCATGCAATTGAGATTCAATCAAACCTGCATTTAAGTAAACCAAGTGAGGCTATTCATGAATGCTTATTGTGTGAAAAATAACAAAGCAGTAGTGTCTATAAAAAACGGTATTTTGCAGGAAATACTGCACAGGGTTTTTGCACTCTGAATAGGACGATTGAACAGAGAACTGATCAAATAGTCAACACTTAGCTTAAAGCCATCTGTTATAATGCATTTTATATGATCGTAAACCATTGTAAGACATTGTCCTCCTGTTCACTGATCACTTAGAAATTCTACTTACTGTATGCAGTATTATCCAACTTGGTTTACTATAATATTTTAATTATCCCCAAACAACAAACTAATTGTATGTCTCCATTTACAGATTTCAGAGCAAGTTGATGACGTGAGTGTCACTTTTGATGAGGATTTGTGTGTGGAGTGTGTGGAGACTGATGTCAAATTAAAATGGAACTTCCAGATCAAAACAGAGGTAAAGGATAGCTATAAGTAGCCTACTCTATGTTGTTAAATTACATATTGGTTTACTTACGCTGTAAGCAGTCTATGGAAAAGGTATGTTTTGGTTTTATTTCCCTGGCACAGTTTCCAAATGCTAACATTTTAGCATTTGGGTTACAAATCCCATTCAAGTCATGGTACCGATATTAGCATTTTTCACGCATCACGTACAAATCATCCGAAGGTATCCATACAGTGCATTCAAAAAGTATTCATACCCCTTGACTTATTCCATATTTGGTTGTGTTACAGCCTGAATTCAAAATTGATTAAATAGATTTTTCCCCCCGCACACATCTACACACAATACCCCATAATGACAAAGTGTAAACATGTTTTTAGACATTTTCGCAAAGTTATTGAAAATGAAATACAGAAATATCTTATTTACATACACTATCAGTCACAAGTTTGGACACACCTACCCATTCAAGGGTTTTTCTTTATTTTTACTATTTTTTACATTGTAGAATAATGGTGAAGACATCAAAACTATTAAATAACACATATGGAATCATGTAGTAACCAAAAAAGTGTTGAACAAATCAAAATGCATTTTATATTTTATATTCTTAAAAAAGCCACCCTTTGCCTTGATGACAGCTTTAAACACTCTTGGCATTCTTTCAACCAGCTTCATGAGGTAGTCACCTGGAATGCATTTCAATTAACAGGTGTGCCTTCTTAAAAGTTAATTTGTGGAATTTCTTTCCTTCTTAATGCGTTTGAGCCAATCAGTTATTTTGTGACAAGGAAGATATCCCTATTTGGTAAAAGACCAAGTCCATATTATGGCATGAACAGCTCAAATAAGCAAAGAGAAATGACAGTCCATCATTACTTTAAGACATGAAGGTCAGTAAATACGGAACATTTCAAGAACTATGATGAAAGTGGCTCTCATGAGGAACGCCACAGGAATGGAAGACCCAGAGTTACCTCTGCTGCAGAGGATAAGTTCATTAGCGTTACCAGCCTCAGAAATTGCAGCCCAAATAAATGCTTCACAGAGTTCAAGTAACAGACACATCTCAACATCAACTGTTCAGAGGAGACTGTGTGAATCAGGCCTTCATGGTCGAATTGCTGCAAAGAAACCACTAATAAAGGACACCAATAATAAGAAGAGACCTGTTTGGGCAAAGAAACATGAGCAATGGACATTAGACAGGTGAAAATGTGTCCTTTGGTCTGGAGTCCAAATTTGAGATTTTTTGTTCCAACCGCCTTGTCTTTGTGTGGGGGTGCATTGCTGGTGACACTTTCTGTGATTTATTTAGAATTCAAGGCACACTTAACCAGCTTGGCTACCACAGCATTCTGCAGCGATACGCCATCCCATCTGGTTTGGGTTTAGTGGGACCATCATTTGTTTTTCAACAGGACAATGACCAAACACACCTCTAAGCTGTGTAAGGGCTATTTTCCCAAGAAGGAGAGTGATGGAGTGCTGCATCAGATGACCTGGCCTCCACAATCCCCCGACCTCAACCAAATTGAGATGGTTTGTGTCACGGTTTCGGCCGAGGCTGCTCCTCCTCCTTGCTCGGGCAGGCTTCGGCGGTCGTCGTCCCCGGAGTACTAGCTACCACCGTTGTATGTTATCGATGTTCGTGTCTTTATTGTACACCTGTTTTCCATTTGGGTTGATTATGTCCCCTATAAGTTTCTCGTTTTGTTAGTCGTGTATTGTGTGTTATTGTTCGCCTGTCATCAGGTGCGGCTTGTCTTTTGTATTTTGTATTTCCTGTCGTCGCACTGTACTGTTTTCGTGCGCTTTGGATTACTTGTGTTTTGCGCATTGTTGCGCATAGTCCGCCTCCTATTTTGTTGAGGCCAGAGTCTAATTTATTGTGTTCAGTAAAGTCGGTTGGACTTAGCTTCTGTGTCCTGCGTGTGACTCCTCCACCACATCCACATCAGCCACTGTGACAGTTTGGGATGAGTCGTACGGCAGAGTGAAGGATAAGCAACCAAACAAGTCCTCAGCATATGTAGGAACTCCTTCAAGACTGTTGGAAAAGCATTCCAGGTGAAGCTGTTTCAGAGAATGCCAAGAGAGTTCAAAGCTGTCATCAAGGCAAAGGGTGGCTATTTGAAGAATCTCAAATATAAAATATATTTTGATTTGTTTAACACTCTTTTGGTTACTACATGATTCCATATGTGTAATTTCATAGTTTTGATGTCTTCACTTTTATTCTACAATGTAGAAAATAGTAAAAATAAAGAAGAAACCCTTGAATGAGTAGGTGTGTCCAAACTTTTGACTGGTACTGTAAGTTTTCACACGCCTTTGCTATCAAACTGAGCTCAGCCAATTCAATTGTTTGGACACAATTTAGAAAAACAACACACCTGTCTACAGTGCATTCAGAAAGTATTCAGACCCCTTTACTTTTCCACATTTTGTTACTTTACAGCTTTATTCAGAAATTGATTAAATAGTTGTTTCCCCCTCATCAATCTACACAAATTACCCCATAATGACAAAGCGAAAACCGTTTTTTAGAAATGTTTACTGATGTATAAAAAATACAAAACTGATATCACATTTACATAAGTATTCAGACCCTTTACTCAGTAATTTGTTGAATCATCTTTGGCAGTGATTATGACGCTACAAGCTTGGCACACATGTATTTGGGGAGTTTCTCCCGTTCTTCTCTGCAGATCCTCTCAAGCTCTGTCAGGTTGGATGGGGAGCGTCGCTGCACAGCTATTTTCAGGTCTCTCCAGAGATGTTCTATCGGGTTCTAGTCCGGGCTCTGGCTGGGCCACTCAAGGACATTCAGAGACTTGTCCCGAAGCCACTCCTGCGTTGTCTTGGCTGTGTGCTTAGGGTCGTTGTCCTGTTTGGAGGTGGTCCGGAGCGCTCTGGAGCAGGTTTTCATCAAGGATCTCTCTGTACTTTGCTCTGTTAATCTTTGCCTCGACCCTGACTAGTCTCCCAATCCCTGCCGCTGAAAAACCTCCCCACAGCATGAGGGTGCCACCACTATTCTTCACTGTAGGGATGGTGCCAGGTTTCCTCCAGACGTGATGCTTGGCATTCAGGCCAGAGAATCTTGTTTCTCATGGTCTGAGAGTCTTTAGGTGCCTTTTGGCAAACTCCAAGTGGGCTGTCATGTGCCTTTAACTGAGGAGTGGCTTCCGTCTGGCCACTCTACCATAAAGGCCTGATTGGTGGAGTGTTGCAGAGATGGTTGTCCTTCTGGAAGGTTCTCCCATCTCCACAGATGAAGTCTAGAGCTCTGTCAAAGTGACCATCGGGTTCTTGGTCACCTCCCTGACCAAGGCCGTTTTCCCCCGACTGCTCAGTTTGGCCAGGCAGCCAGCTCTAGGAAGAGTCTTGGTGGTTCCAAACATCTTCCATTTAAGAATGATGGAGGCCGCTGTGTTCTTGGGGACCTTCAATGCTGCAGACATTTGTTGGTACCCTTCCCCAGATCTGTGCCTCGATACAATCCTGTCTTTGAGCTCTACAGACAATTCCTTCGACCTCATGGCTTGGTTTTTGCTCTGACATGCACTGTGGGACCTTATATAGACAGGTGTGTGCCTTTCCAAATCATGTCCAATCAATTGAATTTACCACAGGTGGACTCCAATCAAGTTGTAAAAACATCTCAAGGATGATCAATGGAAACAGGATGCACCTGAGCTCAATTTCGAGTCTCATCGCAATGGGTCTGAATACTTATGTAAATAAAGTATTTCTGTTTTTTGTTTTTAATAAATGTGCAAAAATGTCTAAAAACCTGTTTTTGCTTTGTCATTGTGGGGTATTGTGTGTAGATTGCTGAGGAAAAAGTTGTATTTAATCCATTTTAGAATAAGGCTGTAACATAACAAAATGTAGAAAAAGTCAAGTGGTCTGAATACTTTCCGAAGGCACTGTAGATTTGATACCATTAATTTACTATTTAGCAGGCTGGTTATTTAGCAGTCTTAAGGCTTGGGGGTAGGAGCCGTCTCGGACCCTGTCGGTCCAAGAGCCGATGCTCCGATACCATTTGCCGGACGGTAGCAGAGTGAATAGTCTATGTGGCTGGAGTCTTTGGTAATTTTTCGGGCATGGATGGCAGGGAGCTCGGTCCCAGTGATGTACTGGGCTGTCCACACCACCCCCTGTAGCGCAATGCAGTCAAGGGCGGTGCATTTGTCATACCAAGAGGTGATGCAGACAGTCAAGATGTTCTCAATGGTGCAGCTGTATAACTTTTTGAGGATCTGAGGGCCCATGCCAAATATTTTCAGGCACGGTAGATGATTCGAAAATGATGCGCGAAAAATGCTAATATCGGTACCATGACTTGAATGGGATTTGTGACACAAATAATAAAACATTAGCATTTGGAAACACTGCCAGGGAAACCATTGTTATACCTTGTCCATGGACTTCTTACATGTGAAGGAAATCAATATGTCATTTTGTAATTTGGGTAAAATATCTCTTTAAGTGTCTGTTAAGTGTGAATACACTGCTCTTGAATACAGTGATTGGGTGATTCCTCACGAAACAAGGAGAAACATTGTTTTTGCATTTTTACTAATTTTATCCATGGAATGTTCCTTTGGTGGAAGGATTGTTGACATATATTTGGCATTTGTATCTTAAAGCATAATTTAATTGAAGTTAGAATATTTGTGACATTTTGGCCTTACCCAGGCCTCCTTTAAGACTCCATCATGTTTCATCTGTAGGTGCTACATAGCAGTAAGGTTTCAATAACAATTTTCTTACCTTTTATTTATAAATATTGAAAAATCTAAACATGAATATTGAAAAAACGTCTTTGTTTCCCAGACTCTGTTCTGGACTTGGGGACTGTGCAGAGACCCCTGGTGGCATGTCTTGTTGGGTATACACGGAGCTTTCAACATATCAACACCTTTCACAAAGACTAGTAGTAATGCAGTAAATCTCACTTCTACTTTGAGCCAGGAGCGATTGACATGCATGTTAGCCCAGTCTCTAGCTTTTCCAGGGTCAGTGATACATAAAGCAGCCATATACTGCCTATGGGAACAACTTCAACCATTTTGCAAGGAACATTGCTAAAATGAATTAAATAAATTATAATGAACCTCAAAATATTTTACATGTAAAGCTCATCTCCTGTAGCTTAAAACCCATCTCCTTATTTTCATACTGTACCTAAATTGCAAGGATTGGATTTGCACTAAACAATTTGCACTTTAAAGGCATGTACAAAATCTGGTATATAGGTTGCCTCATATATATAGTCTGCTGGTATCATTTTTAATTGAGAACATATAGCTCAACATGTAAACAATGTGTGAGTTTAGCTTTTCTCTGCTTCAGATCACAAGGGGTGCATTGCACATGCCCATCATACTACCAGGCCAGTAATGTCATCATACTGTATGGCTACATTGGCGAAGCCATATGATAAGCTGCTAAATGGATTTACATGGCTGATATACTGAGACTGACAATCAAATAAAACAGACTGAATATCTTACAACACAACCCATTCTCCTCTTTATTGCAGGATTGTGATCTGTGATTAATCAACATTGATACTAGTTCATGTTGAATAATAGTTTAACAATACAAATTTAAACACTTAACTTAAAAGAATCAACACTTCATATTCAAAATTTACAAATAAGCTAACTTGTATGTAAAGATTAGACATCTTAGTCTAAACAACAATAGATCATTGAGTAGTAACAAGTAGGCTATTATAACTAAAGCGTCATTTCAGGTGAACCAAAAAAAGTCAATACCAGCGGTGGCCAACATTACTCCACTGATCCCCGACCTACTGGGTGAGCAGACTTCTGTTCCAGGGCAGCAATAGCACACTTGATTATCACCTCATTAGCGGTGGCTGGTAGCCTATGTGAAAAATCTGTAGATGTGCAAGGCACTTTACCCTAATTGCTCCTTTAAGTCGCTCTGGATAAGAGTGTCTCCTAAAATGTGGATCAGGTGTGTTATTGCTAGGCTGAAAAATAAGCCTAGACCTTCAGCAAGGTTGGCCTGCTCCAGTTGAAACAACATTTCCTAACATAGGAACCCATGCCATATAGGATATACCCTTTGTTACAGGTTTTGGCTTTTCCATTTATGTTTTGAGGTTGGACTTTAGCACATATAGCACTTTAGCACGTTGGGCGCTCCGATTGGTGTCACCTTGTTAGTTAGTATCTGTTACACCTGTGCTGGCTTGTCCATCTCGTTAGTCGGAAGGTGTTTCACCTGTGCTGGCCCAGGCGATATTGAAGAGTGGCTGGCCCAGCACTCCAGTTGTCTTGAGAGAGGCGGAGGGTCAACACCTTTAGTTGGCTCTTCCTTTTTGAGTTTTAGAAAAACATTCCTTTGTCTGATCTTCCCTGTTCCACTTTTTGGTTTGCGTCCTGTCTTTAAGTTTGATGGGTTTTTCTTTTGTTTGCCTCAAATTTAGTGGGCGCTCATGGTGGGTGCCTTTTAGGTTGGTTGTTGTTGCTAGTCAACTTTCAGTGGACACCCCACCTGTTTCGTTTTGGTTGTTGTCAGTGACTCTTTGTTAGTTCCCACTTCTGTTTGAGCGACATTATTTGGTTTTCTTGCTGGGGAACGTGACACCCTTAGTCTCTTGGGACATTCATTGAGACAAATTGCTTTCACAGTTTTCCATATCTGAAGACTGGAAATATCATGAAGAAACAAGCTTTATTATACTCAGATTAGACAGCATTGTATATTATGTTGCTATTATCTCTCTGTCCTCAAAGTTTTCCCCTCTAGGAATTGGAAGTGGAGAATCTTTTCATAATGTCCTCCCACCAAATGACCTGTCCTATCCAGTAGCATACCACACTCTCCCTTTACCGACAGAGGAGAACTGGGTGAAAGTGTTGTGGTCAGATGAGACCAAAATCGAGCTCTTTGGCATCAACTCAACTCACCATGTTTGGAGGAGGAGGAATGCTGCCTATGACCCCAAGAACACCATTCCCACCGTCAAACATGGAGGTGGAAACATTATGCTTTGGGGGTGTTTTTCTGCTAAGGGGACAGGACAACTTCACCACATCAAAGGGACGATGGACGGGGCCATGTACCGTCAAATCTTGGGTGAGAACCTCCTTCCCTCAGCCAGGGCATTGAAAATTGGTTGTGGATGGGTATTCCAGCATGACAATGACCCAAAACACACGGCCAAGGCAACAAAGGAGTGGCTCAAGAAGAAGCACATTAATGTCCTGAAGTGGCCTAGCCAGTCTCCAGACCTTAATCCCATAGAAAATCTGTGGAGGGAGCTGAAGGTTCGGTTTAGAACGCGTTGTGAAGTTTGACTTTACCAGTGTATTCCCAAAAATCTAATACTTCAATTTCGCTAATATGGTAGTTACCACTATTTAGCGCGATCTGTAAGATTAATTTAGAATGCCAGAGGACGAGAATCTAGCTAGCTACTGTACTATCTTTGCTACTACTTTGTGTCCACAGGAATGTTTACCCGGGGCAACAATGGGAAATGGCAGTGAAGTAGGAAAGCCGGATCTCGCAACTCCTTTTCCTATGCCAAATTGACGTTGAAACAGGTGCTGTTAAGAAGGAGTGTTTGAACATAGTGGGAGGCAACGAGGATATCTAAAGAGACTAAGCCTAGACCGGAGTATGTTGTTAGTGTAGTATTCGTGCAGAAGCTGTCTTGAGCTTTGTTTGGTTCTCTCAAAAAAAAATGTCCTGTGGGGTTGTGAACCCTCCTTGTTTGGATTTGAAAATCCAACAGTTGTATTGGAAGGGGGCAGCGCTTGGGGGCTGTGTGTGGCTGTCGTTGTGGGCAGTGGTGTCGTGGAGGGTATATTTAGGTATACAGTGCTTTCTGAAAGTATTCAGACCCCTTGTTTATTTCCACATTTTTTTTACGTTACAGCCTTTTTCAAAAATGGATTAAATGGATTAAATTGTTTTCCCCCCCCTCGATCTACACACAAAACCCCATAATGACAAAGCAAAAACGGGTTATTAGAAATGTTTGCAAATGCATCAAAAATAACTAACTTAAATATTATATTTACATAAGTATTCAGACCCTTTACTCAGTACTTTGTTGAAGCACCTTTGGCAGCGATTACAGCCTTGAGTCTTCTTGGGTATGTTGGAGAGTTTCTCCCATTCTTCTCTGCAGATCCTCTCAAGCTCTGTCAGGTTGGATGGGGAGCGTCGCTGCACAGCTATTTTCAGGTCTCTCCAGAGATGTTTGTTCGGGTTCAAGTCCAGGCTCTGGCTGGGCCACTCAAGAACATTCAGAGACTGGTACTGAAGCCACTTCTGCGTTGTCTTGGCTGTGTGCTTAGGGTCGTTGTCCTGTTGGAAGGTGAACCTTCACCCTGGAGCAGGTTTTCATCAAGGATCTCTCTGTGTATTGTAATATATTTGACCTTGCTGGTCATCTATGAACATCTTGAAGAACAATCTGGCCTTAATGCACAGCCAAAAGAGGACTGGCCACCCCTCAGAGCCTGGTTACTCTCTAGGTTTCTCCCTAGGTTCCTGCCTTTCAAGGGAGTTTTTCCTAGCCACGTGCTTCTACATCTGCATTGCTTGCAGTTTGGGGTTTTAGGCTGGATTTCTGTATAGCACTGTGTGACATCTGCTGATGTAAAAAGGGCTTTATAAATACATTTGCTTGATTTGTATTTTGCTCCGTTCATCTTTCCCTCGATCCTGACTAGTCTCCCTGCAGCTGAAAAACATCCCCACAGCATAATGCTGCTACCACCATGCTTCACTGTAGAGATGGTATTGGCCAGGTGATCAGCGGTGCCTGGTTTCCTCCAGACGTGACGCTTGGCATTCAGGCCAAAGAGTTCAATCTTGGTTTCATCAGACCAGAGAATCTTGTTTCTCATAGTCCGAGACTCCTTTAGGTGCTTTTTGGCAAACTCCAAGTGGGGTGTCGTGCCTTTTACTGAGGAGTGGCTTCCCTCTGGCAACTCTACCATAAATAACTGATTGGTGGAGTGCTACAGAGATGGTTGGCCTTCTGGAAGGTTCTCCCATCTCCACAGAGGAACTCTGGAGCTCTGTCAGAGTGACCATCAGGTTCTTGGTCACCTACCTGACCAAGGCCCTTCTCCCCCGATTGCTCAGTTTGGCCGGGCGGCCAGCTCTAGGAAGAGTCTTGGTGGTTCCAAACTTCTTCCATTTAAGAATGATGGAGGCCACTGTGTTCTTGGGGACCTTCAATGCTGCAGAACTTTGTTGGTACCATTCCCCAAAATCTGTGCCTCGACACAATCCTGCACTGGAGCTCTGTGGACAATTTCTTCGACCTCATGGCTTGGTTTTTGCTCTGACATGCAGTGTCAACTGTGAGACCTTATATAGACAGGTGTTTGCTTTTCCAAATCATGTCCATTCAATTGAATTTACCACAGGTTTACCACAGGTCTAGTTATAGAAACATATCAAGGATGATCAATGGAAACAGGATGCACCTGAGCTCAACTTCGAGTCTCATAGCAAAGGGTCTGAATACTGTTTCCATTCCCCAAATAATCCAAGCTTTTCTGGAGGCAAAAGGGGGTCCGACTCGGTACTAGATGGGTGTACCTAATTAACGGGCCACTGAGTATGTCAACAATCTTTCCTCCAAAGGACCATTCTAGGGATAAAATGTTGTGAAATCCTGGTTTTGTGAGGAATGCCTCAAATACACTGTGAACACACTGCTTTCCTCATGTTTGTGAATAAACTGTGCACTTACATTTTCTTCCCAATTTGTGGTTCTCCTCAATCGGTGTACTGTTGCAAATCTAAGCTTCAAGGCCAGTTGTTGCCCACAACTGTTTCCACTTTTTTAGTCCTTTGTTGCTATCTGTTTGGGCTCCGAGAAACAGAGTAGGCCTATATTCCCTCCACTAAAGTCCCACCTCTGATTTGAAGTGGACTCATTCTTATAGATGTGATTTTATCAACTGGCTGAAGTGATAATGCTCTTTCATTTATAAAGCAAATTTCTTGCACAAAACCAAACATTTATTGTATTTTCCCACAGCTAGCAAGGGTTATTTATATTTATTTACAGTTATGTTAGGTATTACTCCTACTCTCTCTTAAAGTGGAACTGACAGCGTTTAGCAACATTAAAATCTGTTAATATACACCCCCAGGAAGAATATGACACCTTTTTATTACATTTTCTGAAAAGCTCTGACAAGCGAGCACTTTACGTTTTCGTAAATTCATAGAATGCTTGGGAATTACCTACAGTAAGGCATTTGTGAAAATTCTATAGCAATATAGAGTGGGAAAGCGGCCATGCATTTGTCAATTAAGAGACACCACGGGAGTCTTGCATTTGGGAACTTTACAGTACTATTGATCAAACAACCATGAAAAGGTAGGCTCTCTCTCCCTCATTTATGCACATCAACAACAACAACAAGATCAACAACTAATGCTAGCCAGAGCGAGATTAGTTAAAATCTCTCCTGTACTTTTAAAGCTAGTTGGCCATCAGAATTGTGCTGATAAACGATGGGGAATAGTAGCCTGATCTTCTTTCTGCAGCTTGCCTGCCAATGCATGCTTGTCCCAACCACTGTTTTGACAACTGAGTGGGAACTTGCCTGCCCGCCCATTTGATCGATGCCAAATACATTTGATTGACAACTGAGGGTGAGTTTTGTAAATTACCTTCAGTGTGTCAGAGTGCGCTCTAGGTCATTCGTAAATTCAGAGCGTTGTCAGATTGTCCGTTCGTAAATTCAGAGCGTACACGGCACTATTGACACTAGACGCTCTGGCCAAGGAGTAGGGTTGATCCAAGTGTTCATCACAGCAGTCAAGCACCCAAGCTAACTGGCTAAAGTTGCTAGCTTGCTAGCTACTTCCAGACACAAATGAGAGAACACCTCATTCTGACCATTTTAATCACCCTAGCAGAGATAGTTAGGCTGTTTACATGGTATCTAGAACGGTAGTGACGAACTGTCCTGCTGGCAACAATTTAATAACTTATTTTGTTGACGTTTACTGACACCGGTCATATTCAGCAGGTGTTGCACATTCGTAAAAGATTTGCTAACTGGATAACAGTTGTTCAAGTTCAGCATAGCTAGCAAAGCGATTCACATTTATTTATAGCTAACCAAATGACCTGCATCTCTAGCTGTAGCCACCAAAAAACTGAGGGGAACAAGTCAGTCATTCACCGACCCACTCCTCCAATCCTCCCAGCAGCTAGCTAGCTAGCTAACGTTAGGCGCCGTTTTTTTAGCTTGCTAAATAAATTCATTGTTAAATAGATACGCTAGCCTATTAGCCACGTTATTACTGACTTGTGATCATTGCCCTTGCTAGTTACCAAACATTCCCAGACTTAGGGTAGTTACATTTGTCTGTTTTTGTCCAAAATATTGAGTCATTGAAACTGAAAAAGTGCATCCCAAATGGGTGGAGGCAGCAAACAATGTACCAGGCCAGCTGTGATTTGACAATCTGTTAACAAAAAAAATTACTACCATGAAAAATATTGGTGAATTATATGAATCATGCATTGAACTGCATCCATCTATTCTGCCAACAACTCCTTACGTTACGTCATGTAATTTTGAGTCAAATAGAACCTATTTGTAAAACCTCTTATGAAGTTGGTTTTGTAGCATAAACTGGGAATTTTATATTTTTTGACAGATTATGATTGTCTGTTTCATATCTGCAAAGTAGTTAAAACGCTGTCATTCCACTTTAAGCTATCTACTGTAATGCTGCCTCATGCCTCTAACGATGAGGTCCCACTGGGCACAGATGTCAATTCAATCTATTCCACGTTGGTTCAACGTCATTTCACGTTGGTTCAACCAGTGTATGCCCCAGCTAAGTTTACATTTAGCTGTTTGTGATGTCTCCACTTTCATATTTTATTTCATTCATGTCATTGGTCACCTGTACATTTTGCATGTGTCTTCACAGAGATTACTTGCACATGTAGCATTACTGAAACAGGAACCTGGAGCCTCTTTCTCCCTGGATGAAAACAGTCCTGAGCCCTGCACTTACTCCACGGGTGAACAGTTATGTAACTCAGACATGACCTATGACATCACTGTGTCCTTCAAATCCAACAAGCCAGGTCTTTACAAACAGTGGTTGGTGTTTGATTTCGACATGAGGCCAGTCCTTCTACAGAAACTCAAGGTTAAAGTCGGACAGCAGCCATCCCCTATCCTCGAGGAGCCACCTGAGGACATTGGGCGCCCTTCCCAGAATCTCGAACACTGGCATAGGGGGAACAGGGTCATCGTCCCATGCTTGGACAAGACAAAAGTACAGGAAGAGCTTCTGAAGGAGTACAAGCCACCTCAGATTAACTTGCAGTATAAACCACTTAATGACAGCAACACAGCCATGACTCACCAGAACTACAAAAAGAGAATGCACAGCTTCCTGTACACAGAGGAGAAGGCAGAAGATCAGGTAGTTTCAAGGTAATAACATCAGTACCTTTTTCATGGCTTTGTTTCTTAACTGATCATTCCCAATACTATTATAAATACATCACATCTAACAGCAGAGACGAGACTAGACGGTTTTATGCAGTTTTCAAACGAAGTTTGCTTGATCTGAAGCTCCGGTTAGCAAGCCTTAAGTGCTCAAATTTCTCTCAACCAGGGTTTCCGTTAGGAACATGTGGCGCTGGACATTTGACCGGCAACATTTTTTATTGACCGGACATTTGAGAAATTTAAAGGACCCATATGTATTGGGTGCGTAACCTGATTAGGGTGTCCACCCACTGTGCTCAGAATGACAGAAATCACATTTAGAATGTTAATTCATATTAACAGAACATGCAAGTCCGAGGATGCAACGATGTGCAGCTCTTCTTACCGAATTCTGATGTGCACTTTGAACATGTTACAATAACTGCCCACATTTACTTTTCCTCAACCAACAAGAGGAGTAATGAACAGCAAAATCACTAGCCTGTGTCAATCTACTATAGTAGAAAAGTTTAGGCTACCTATTCTATTGGTCAGCTTGTCGAAAGAAATTGCCTATTCCAAACAGACTCTGGGACAGTTGTGGGACTATAGAGCCCAAATTCCATTCAACCAGTAGGTCTAGGCTACATAAAAAATATATACATTAAAAAGCAATGAGTCTGATGCAACAGATCAGAACATTTAGCTTAAAAGGTTGATAAACTATTTTTCTTCACATAAGCACAGCAATGCACACAAGGCAGTAGGCTGCGCGCGAATGTTCGCTCCATAATGCAATTAGTGGGAAAACACTTGTCAAAAGGGCACTGCGCATGCCAGCGGTTTCATGTGAAATTTTTAAAGAGAGGACATCTTCTAAGCTACTTTGAAGCAAGGTAAGACATGCCTCGTAATATGTACATTGAACAAAATGCAACAATTTCTAAAGATTTTACTGAGTTACAGTTCATATAAGGAAATCAGTCAATTGAAATAAAGCCCCAATCTATGGATTTCACATGACTGGGAATACAGATATGTATCTGTTGGTCACAAATACCTTAAAAAAAAGTAGGGGCGTGGATCAGAAAACCAGTCAGTATCTGGTGTGACCACCATTTGCCTCATGCAGTGTGACACATCTCCTTCGCATAGAGTTGATCAGGCTGTTGATTGTGGCCTGTGGAATGTTGTCCCACTCCTCTTCAATGGCTGTGCAAAATTGATAGATATTGGCGGGAACTGGAAAACACTGTCGTACATACTTACCAAACATGTGACGTCTGGTAAGTATGCAGGCCACGAAAGAACTGGGACATTTTCAGCTACCAGGAATTGTGTACAGATCCTTGAATCATTATCATGCTGAAACATGAGGTGATAGCGGCGGATGAATGGCACGACAATGGGCCTCAGGATCTCATCACGGTATCTCTGTGCATTGAAATGACCATCAATAAAATGCAATTGTGTTCATTGTCCATAGCTTATGCCTGCCCATATCATAACCCCACCGCCACCATTCGGCACTCTGTTCACAACGTTGACATCAGCAAGCCGCTCGCCCACACGACGCCATACACGTTGTCTGCCATCTGCCCGGTACAGTTGAAACCGGGATTCATCCATGAAGAGCACACTTCTGCACCGTGCCAGTGGCCATCGAAGGTGAGCATTTGCCCAATGAAGTTGGTTAAGACGCTGAACTGCAGATAACGACTAGCATGCAGATGAGCTTCCCAAGACTGTTTCTGGCAGTTTGTGCAGAAATTCTTCAGTTGTGCAAACCCACAGTTTCATCAGCCGTCTGGGTGGCTGGTCTCAGACGATGCCGCAGGTGAAGAAGCCGGATGTGGAGGTCCTGGGCTGGGGTGGTTACACGTAGTCTGCTGTTTTGAGGCCGGTTGTATGTACTGCCAAATTCTCTAAAATGACATTGGAGGTGGCTTATGGTAGAGAAATGAAAATTATATTCTCTGGCAACCGCTCTGGTGGACATTCCTGCAGTCAGTATGCCAATCGCACGCTCCCTCAAAACTTGAGACATCTGTGGCATTGTGTTGTATGACAAAACTGCACTCCAGCTCATTGCAAAGTAGTGTGTGACGCGCTGATGAAGCTTGCCGTTTGATGCCGTGTTCAAAACTGGGTACTCGGAACTCAGAAATCTCCGACTTCCGACTTCAGTGCGTTCAAGGCAACAGGGGAAAAAAACTAGCTCAGACTGGGATTATTTTTTTTGAAAGGTCATCCAACTCGGAATTCCAACTTGGGAATTCTGGCCTCTTTCTAGTGCTCCGACCTGAAGATCACTGAAGTCATGATTTGACCTCGTATTTTTCCCAGTTGCCTTGAAAGCACCACAGGATGCTGTAGCTGTCACGATCGTTGAACAGAGTGGACCAAGGCGCAGCGTGATGAGCAAACATACTTTATTATCTTTAGTGATAACAAGAACAAAACAATAAACGAACAACGTGACGTCCTAGGTTAAACGACCAACACGGAACAAACCAAAAGGAACAAGATCCCACAACTACTGTGGGAAAACAGCCTGTATAAATATGGCTCCCAATCAGAGACAACCAGCAACAGCTGACACTCGTTGCCTCTGATTGGGAACCACTCTGGCCAACATAGAAATACAATACATAGAATATACAACACAGAACAAGAACACATAGAATCTACACACCCTGGCTCAACATATAGAGTCCCCAGAGCCAGGGTGTGACAGTACCCCCCCCCCCCCCAAAGGCGCGGACTGCGACCGCGCCTCAACATAAACCAAACAGGGGAGGGCTGGGTGGGCATTCCTCCTCGGAGGAGGTTCCGGCTCCGGGCTTGCCCACCACCCTCCAATAATCCCCCCGTAGCGCCCCTGGTCCGGTCTGGCCCCGCTGGCTGGAGCTGGACTGGACATCGTAGGAGCGGATTGCTTAAGCTCCGGTGTGGAGCAGCTGACTGGTACCTGACCGGGCACCGGTGACCCAGGCACGGGTTGTGCCGGACTGACGATGCGCACCCCTGGCTTGGTGCGTGGAGCAGGAACGGGCCGGACCGGGCTGACGATGCGCACCCCTGGCTTGGTGAGTGGCGCAGCAACGGGCCGGACCGGGCTGACGATGCGCACCCCTGGCTTGGTGCGTGGAGCAGGAACGGGCCGTACCGGGCTGACGATGCGCACCCCTGGCTTGGTGCGTGGAGCAGGAACGGGCCGTACCGGGCTGACGATGCGCACCGTAGGCTTGGTGCGAGTGGCAGGAACAGGCCGGGCCGGGCTGGCGACGCGCACCGTAGGCTTGGTGCGAGTGGCAGGAACAGGCCGGGCCGGGCTGGCGACGCGCACCGTAGGCTTGGTGCGAGTGGCAGGAACAGGCCGGGCTGGCGACGCGCACCGTAGGCTTGGTGCGAGTGGCAGGAAACAGGCCGGGCCGGGCTGGCGACGCGCACCATTAGCTTGGTGCGGGGAACAGGAACAGGCCGGGCTGGCGACGCGCACCATTAGCTTGGTGCGGGGAGCAGGAACAGGCCGGGCCGGGCTGGCGACGCGCACCATTGGCTTGGTGCGGGGAGCAGGAACAGGCCGGGCCGGGCTGGAGACGCGCACCGTTAGCTTGGTGCGGGGAGCAGGAACAGGCCGGACCGGGCTGGCGACGCGCAACGTAGGCTTGGTGCGGGGAGCAGGAACAGGCCGGGCCGGGCTGGAGACGCGCACCGTTAGCTTGGTGCGAGGAGCAGGAACAGGCCGGACCGGGCTGGCGACGCGCACCGTAGGCTTGGTGCGAGGGGCAGGAACAGGCCGGGCCGGGCTGGCGACGCGCACCGTAGGCTTGGTGCGAGGGGCAGGAACAGGCCGGGCCGGGCTGGCGACGCGCACCATCAACTTAGTGCGGGGAGCAGGAACGGGCCGGACCGGACTGGTGACGCACACCACTTGCTTGGTGTGAGGAGCGGGACTGGGTTTCGTCATAACCCTCCGCTCCCTCAGCTGCCTACACAGTTCCTCTCGCCGTGCCTCTATTCTCACCTTCTCCCTTATCGCCTCCAGTAGCTCCACCCTCTGCACCACTAACTCCTGCTCCCTCTGCACCAATAGCCCCCTTAACCTGGTGGCCTCCTCACCTAACCTCCTAATACGCCCTGTAGCTGCCTCCTGCTGCCCCGTCGCCCATGCCGTGTGCCCCCCCCCCTAAATTTTTTTTGGGGTTGCCTCTCGTCCGTCCGACGACGACACTGTTGACGCCGTTGCTCCTCTCTCCGTCGCGCCTCTACCGTCTCCTTCCATGGACGGCGATCCATCCCGGCCTGGATTTCCTCCCAGGTCCAGGACCCCTGCCCGTCCAATATTTGCTCCAACGTCCAGGCTGCCTGCTCCTGGACACGCTGCTTGGTCCTGGTATGGTGGGATCTTTTGTCACGATGTTCCACTCAAAGGCTCTGCATCTGTATGCAGTATATGTGTGATAAATAAGATACAAAACTAACATAGGCTACTGTACACACACCAATTGAATTCCACAGAATTATGATAATTAACCTATAGACCGATACGCATGACCAGTCAAATGTATTTCCATTGACTGGTATTTCTATCAATGAATAGGCTAAAAAGCATGATTTTGCAATGGACATTTTTCTTCTCCTGGACAATTCGCCAGCGGGAATTTTATTTATCAGTTGTGCAAACCCACAGTTTCATCAGCCGTCTGGGTGGCTGGTCTCAGACGATGCCGCAGGTGAAGAAGCCGGATGTGGAGGTCCTGGGCTGGGGTGGTTACACGTAGTCTGCTGTTTTGAGGCCGGTTGTATGTACTGCCAAATTCTCTAAAATGACATTGGAGGTGGCTTATGGTAGAGAAATGAAAATTATATTCTCTGGCAACCGCTCTGGTGGACATTCCTGCAGTCAGTATGCCAATCGCACGCTCCCTCAAAACTTGAGACATCTGTGGCATTGTGTTGTATGACAAAACTGCACTCCAGCTCATTGCAAAGTAGTGTGTGACGCGCTGATGAAGCTTGCCGTTTGATGCCGTGTTCAAAACTGGGTACTCGGAACTCAGAAATCTCCGACTTCCGACTTCAGTGCGTTCAAGGCAACAGGGGAAAAAAACTAGCTCAGACTGGGATTTTTTTTTTGAAAGGTCATCCAACTCGGAATTCCAACTTGGGAATTCTGGCCTCTTTCTAGTGCTCCGACCTGAAGATCACTGAAGTCATGATTTGACCTCGTATTTTTCCCAGTTGCCTTGAAAGCACCACAGGATGCTGTAGCTGTCACGATCGTTGAACAGAGTGGACCAAGGCGCAGCGTGATGAGCAAACATACTTTATTATCTTTAGTGATAACAAGAACAAAACAATAAACGAACAACGTGACGTCCTAGGTTAAACGACCAACACGGAACAAACCAAAAGGAACAAGATCCCACAACTACTGTGGGAAAACAGCCTGTATAAATATGGCTCCCAATCAGAGACAACCAGCAACAGCTGACACTCGTTGCCTCTGATTGGGAACCACTCTGGCCAACATAGAAATACAATACATAGAATATACAACACAGAACAAGAACACATAGAATCTACACACCCTGGCTCAACATATAGAGTCCCCAGAGCCAGGGTGTGACAGTACCCCCCCCCCCCCCAAAGGCGCGGACTGCGACCGCGCCTCAACATAAACCAAACAGGGGAGGGCTGGGTGGGCATTCCTCCTCGGAGGAGGTTCCGGCTCCGGGCTTGCCCACCACCCTCCAATAATCCCCCCGTAGCGCCCCTGGTCCGGTCTGGCCCCGCTGGCTGGAGCTGGACTGGACATCGTAGGAGCGGATTGCTTAAGCTCCGGTGTGGAGCAGCTGACTGGTACCTGACCGGGCACCGGTGACCCAGGCACGGGTTGTGCCGGACTGACGATGCGCACCCCTGGCTTGGTGCGTGGAGCAGGAACGGGCCGGACCGGGCTGACGATGCGCACCCCTGGCTTGGTGAGTGGAGCAGCAACGGGCCGGACCGGGCTGACGATGCGCACCCCTGGCTTGGTGCGTGGAGCAGGAACGGGCCGTACCGGGCTGACGATGCGCACCCCTGGCTTGGTGCGTGGAGCAGGAACGGGCCGTACCGGGCTGACGATGCGCACCGTAGGCTTGGTGCGAGTGGCAGGAACAGGCCGGGCCGGGCTGGCGACGCGCACCGTAGGCTTGGTGCGAGTGGCAGGAACAGGCCGGGCCGGGCTGGCGACGCGCACCGTAGGCTTGGTGCGAGTGGCAGGAACAGGCCGGGCTGGCGACGCGCACCGTAGGCTTGGTGCGAGTGGCAGGAACAGGCCGGGCCGGGCTGGCGACGCGCACCATTAGCTTGGTGCGGGGAACAGGAACAGGCCGGGCTGGCGACGCGCACCATTAGCTTGGTGCGGGGAGCAGGAACAGGCCGGGCCGGGCTGGCGACGCGCACCATTGGCTTGGTGCGGGGAGCAGGAACAGGCCGGGCCGGGCTGGAGACGCGCACTGTTAGCTTGGTGTGGGGAGCAGGAACAGGCCGGACCGGGCTGGCGACGCGCAACGTAGGCTTGGTGCGGGGAGCAGGAACAGGCCGGGCCGGGCTGGAGACGCGCACCGTTAGCTTGGTGCGAGGAGCAGGAACAGGCCGGACCGGGCTGGCGACGCGCACCGTAGGCTTGGTGCGAGGGGCAGGAACAGGCCGGGCCGGGCTGGCGACGCGCACCGTAGGCTTGGTGCGAGGGGCAGGAACAGGCCGGGCCGGGCTGGCGACGCGCACCATCAACTTAGTGCGGGGAGCAGGAACGGGCCGGACCGGACTGGTGACGCACACCACTTGCTTGGTGTGAGGAGCGGGACTGGGTTTCGTCATAACCCTCCACTCCCTCAGCTGCCTACACAGTTCCTCTCGCCGTGCCTCTATTCTCACCTTCTCCCTTATCGCCTCCAGTAGCTCCACCCTCTGCACCACTAACTCCTGCTCCCTCTGCACCAATAGCCCCCTTAACCTGGTGGCCTCCTCACCTAACCTCCTAATACGCCCTGTAGCTGCCTCCTGCTGCCCCGTCGCCCATGCCGTGTGCCCCCCCCCCTAAAATTTTTTTGGGGTTGCCTCTCGTCCGTCCGACGACGACACTGTTGACGCCGTTGCTCCTCTCTCCGTCGCGCCTCTACCGTCTCCTTCCATGGACGGCGATCCATCCCGGCCTGGATTTCCTCCCAGGTCCAGGACCCCTGCCCGTCCAATATTTGCTCCAACGTCCAGGCTGCCTGCTCCTGGACACGCTGCTTGGTCCTGGTATGGTGGGATCTTTTGTCACGATCGTTGAACGGAGTGGACCAAGGCGCAGCGTGATGAGCAAACATACTTTATTATCTTTAGTGATAACAAGAACAAAACAATAAACGAACAACGTGACGTCCTAGGTTAAACGACCAACACGGAACAAACCAAAAGGAACAAGATCCCACAACTACTGTGGGAAAACTGCCTGTATAAATATGGCTCCCAATCAGAGACAACCAGCAACAGCTGACACTCGTTGCCTCTGATTGGGAACCACTCTGGCCAACATAGAATTACAATACATAGAATATACAACACAGAACAAGAACACATAGAATCTACACACCCTGGCTCAACATATAGAGTCCCCAGAGCCAGGGTGTGACAGTAGCAGCAGCTCTTGAACTGTCTGACAGATGTTCCACTCAAAGGCTCTGCATCTGTATGCAGTATATGTGTGATAAATAAGATACAAAACTAACATAGGCTACTGTACACACACCAATTGAATTCCACAGAATTATGATAATTAACCTATAGACCGATACGCATGACCAGTCAAATGTATTTCCATTGACTGGTATTTCTATCAATGAATAGGCTAAAAAGCATGATTTTGCAATGGACATTTTTCTTCTCCTGGACAATTCGCCAGCGGGAATTTTATTTATCGGCTTTAAAAAAATCAACCACGCGTCTCGTCTATTTGATCTGTCTAGTTTTGCCTCGTCTCGTCTCTCCTAATGTTGGCTGTTACATGTGACCATAGCTTAAGTCTCTCCATGGCCTTTCGGGTTTTAGACTCAGTGTTCGAGGGACCATCACCTTGTCTGCCACCCTAGACGACCCTCAGTTCGGATTGAAGACAGCTCCTCTGGGGGAACTATTCTGTGCCGTCTCAGTCCCTTATACTCTCACCCAAGACAACCCAGAGGGTTGGGTGTTTAGACGAAGTGTCCAGTCAGCTCTCATAGCACCAGTATCTTCAGATAAGGTCTACGAAGCCATCATCCTCCGAGATGCCACAAGTGAGAATAAAATGCACTTGCAGCTGTCTGAAAGATGCTGCTCTGACCTGAAGCTCCAAAGAAATGAAAAATGTGAAATGGAGGTCCAGTTCCAGCTGAATCGTCTGAAGTTCTGTGAGATGCACAAAGCCATAGATCTCCTTCCAAACACAGAGAGAGTGTTGCCAGACTTCAGGAACTGCATTGTCCCTGTTAATAAAATGGAATATCCCAAACTCAATGCAAAGCAGCAAGCAGCCATTGATTTCATCGTAGGGGACTCAGATGGAAGAGGTGTGGCACCACTCCTCATTTATGGACCGTTTGGAACTGGGAAAACCTTCACGCTCGCTACAGCAGCCAAAGAGCTGGTACGGCAGCCTCACACCAGAATACTGATCTGCACCCTCACCAATAGGTAATGACTCCAGTGTTCTATATAGATTCACTTACAGAGTTTAACTTTCTGGTACCTTAATATATGTTCAGTCTTACATAATGCAATTAGTTGACATGCAGTCAATTCAGGAAGTTATTTACATTTAAAATTGAAAAACATTTAAAATAGCTTATGCTCAAATTCTGTGTTATTATTTATGTTTACTTCCGGAATTGACTGTCTTCAATTTGAATTGACCCCAGCCCTGAGTTGACAGGTACACATTGTTACATAATAGTGCTTAAAACTGTTAAAAACGTATGTGAGCTTTTTGTAAACATTAGATTTGCAACAAAGGAAGTTTATTTGACCTCTGTGTAGTGATTAACTAAGATAACACAGTTAGGCCATAGGGCTATCATGAGTTTGCCCGTTAATCATTTGAATTGTGTAAGCCTGATTTAGGTTTGACAGTTATAATTATTATGCTTTGTATTAATCCCAATGTTAACACACACATTTTAATCCCAATGTTAACACACACACACACACACACACTTGTAGTTACAATGTACCTGCTTTTTAATTACTGGTGCAACATCAATTTCATGAAAATGTAGGGAGACCAGTTTTCCATTCTGGTTTGAAGGACAGTCACATTTTAGTGGAACTGTTAAATTGTAAACACAGTTAAACCCTCTCTTTCTCTGGTCAGTTCTGCAGATTTGTATGTCAAAGACCACTTCCATCCATACATCAACTCTGGACACCCTGAGATGAAGCCACTGAGAATAAAAGCAAATAAAAAAGGGGTTCCAGTGAGTGCCACGGATGGGATCACACAGAAGTACTGCCTTCTATCCAAAGATGGACAGTTTTTTCTCCCTCCTACCAAATCTGCTTTGGATTGCCACCAAATAGTCATAACAACTACTGCAATGGCAAGGCACTTCAATGACTTGAAGCTTTCTGATGGCTACTTCACCCACATCCTGATTGATGAAGCCTCCCAGATGCTCGAATGTGAAGCCCTGATGCCGCTTGGTCTGGCAGGGCCAGTAACTCGAGTGGTTCTAGCCGGAGATCACATGCAGATGGGACCAAAACTATTTTCAGTAGACGATGACCAATGCTCCAATCACACTTTGCTGAGCCGTCTGTTCCACTTCTATCAAGGCCAGGAGAGTAGTGCAGCTTTGAAAAGCAGAATAATATTTAACGAGAACTATCGCACCACAAAAGAGATTGTAGAATTTGTGTCCACTCACTTCTACGTTGGCAAGTCTGATGCCATCAAGGCTGTAGGTAATGTTCCAGCTCATCCGAACTGCCACCCCCTGAGGTTTCACCATGTCAGAGGAGAATCCCACTTGGACACCACATCTATGTCATGGTTTAACCTTGACGAGGTTGAATGCGTGGTTAAAATAGTGCAAAATCTGCTCAGAGATTGGCCACTCGCATGGGGGAATCATGATCAAAACTCAATCTGTGTTCTCTCTGAACGATGCCAGGTAAAACAGCTGATCCTCATTTAAACATATCAATTACCATGTTTAAGAATTCTAAATCATTTCTTGAGAGAATGAGGAAAAACCAAGTCAATGTTGTGTTGTGTCCTTAACTTTTTTGGTGATATTATTTATTTATTTTTCATAGATCTCAATGATCAGGAAAGAGCTTCGGAAAAGAATGCTTGGCCAAGTGACTGTGGAGAACATAGCCAATGTTCAAGGTATTTATCATGAAAACAACTCAAAGATTTGGGCTGGAATTCATTCCGATCGTGCTTTGTGGACAATGCGGCTTTTAAAGGCAATGTTCCTGCGTTCAGTCGCTGCATATGTCGGCTCAATCAGAAATTACTTTTAAATGGTGCATTGTCGACAAAGCACGATTGGATTGAATCCCGGCCTTGATGTGATTAATTTGCAAACATTAACCAGTAATTTGTTAATATTACATTTTAGTAATATTTTTGTTGACTTATTTTCTGTTCTTTTATTTTGATCTTTGTATAGAAACCTTTCTATTCTTCAACCTAATGGGTCCTTAACCATATAACACTTTCATTGTTTCTTGACAGGCAAACAGTTCAGAGCAATAGTAATGACAGCCGTTCAAACCCGTGACAGCCTTCACCCACCTGACTCATATTGTGTGGAGTTTTTCAACAATGCTCGCATGCTGAACACGGCCATGACTAGGGCTCAATCCCAGGTTGTTGTGGTTGGAGATGCTGCTGCGCTCTGCTACTTTGGGAAGTGCTCAAGAATCTGGAGAAGCTACATTCACCATTGTATTAGCAAGGGAAGTGCTGAACCGAAACACCTTACCAACGACTTCATTGATGGTGATATCAAAGAAATCTCAAGATTCCAACGGACAGAATACCTGGATGAGAGCAGCACTCAGTCAGTTATGTTCGACACAGAGAACGACATGGATGCTATTCTCCAAGAACTACAAAAGGAGCAAAACATGGCACACTACAATTCATCTTATGGAGACAGTTCAGAATGTGAACATGTAGTGGAACGAAAGAGACCATACGATAGTACCAAAGTTGAAAGAGATGCCTTGTTGCAGTTGTTGAGAGAGCAGCCCAATGTGTACAAGCGAGGTGAATTGGTCATGGAGAAACATAACGCAGGTTATATCATTCCATTTGACAACCCAACTAACCACATTATCATCAAAGGTAGAGGTAACCTCGGCAAGTCCTTCTGTGGTGATGAAGTGGTGGCTGAAATAGTTCCTTGTGAGGGCATTCCACAGGGAAAGGTGTTAGGCACCATCAAGGCATCTGAATCCCGTCGTGTGTTTGCTTGTACCCTTGAAGATGAAGATTACCATAAACCCAAAACGAAGTCGCAATATAATTTCCTCCGAAAATTTATGGTACCCCTCAACACAAACGCCAGCAAAATGTGCACCTTGGTCAGCAAGAAGAGTTCCAATTGTATTCCAATATGGAAGCATGATGATGGAGAATGGAAGATTGTCGGATATCAACACCTTGATGAAGAAATCAAACGCAATCGTGTATTCATGGTGGAGGTGTTCTGCTGGAAAACAAAAACCGAAAATAAAGGAAACTATGCCTATCCGTTAGGGAACGTGATAGACATTCTTTCCATAGGATCATCTTTGGAGGAGGGCTTAAGGATTTTGGATGCAGAATTTAAAGTTCAACCGTTGCCTCCCAGCCATGTTTTAGCTGAACCGTGTTCCTGGGAAGACACCCAAAATGGTAACAGAAAGGACATCCGAAAGTTGATTACTTTCACTGTTGACCCAAAGAAATCCCAAGGCTTGGATGATGCAATCAGTGTCATTGATATGGAAAGCGATTATGAGGTTGGAGTCCACATAGCAGATGTGGCAAGTTTTGTGAATCTTGGTGATTCGTTGGATGATGATGCACAAAAACAGGGCAAAACAACTTACAGCCCTAGAAAAGAACCAGTTTACATGTTCCCAAAACCAGTTAGCATCAACCACTTGAGTCTCCTGCCTGGTCAAGATCGAAACGTGGTTTCGTTAATGGTCAAAGTGGACAAGGCAACACACAAAATCATTGACAAGAAGTTCCAGCTATCGCAAATCAAGTCTGATAGAAAGTTGTCTTATGATGAGGCAGAGGACATCCTCAGTAAGCAGTCAGGAGAAGAGGCCAAGTTTGATACTATAGAAGACTGTGTTGCTGTGGCATATCGTTTTGCCAAAGTCCAAAGGAAGGCCAGGCTTGGCAAGGATTGGAGCTATAAAAGCTTGGACAATCACCAGATGCCGGGGAAGAGGAGATCCCATCAGATGATTGAGGAGCTTAGTGTACTGTTCAACAATTCTGTGTCTGAATTTTTGATCAATGCAAATGAAACCATGCACTGCACCCCTCTCCGATGTCAAGTAAGACCCGACCCTGTAATGTTAGAAGACTTGAAAGAGCAGTACAAAGACATCATACCACTGTCCTCACACCTGAGGCACAACCTTGACCATGACGTTGACCTTGACCAGAAGGCCATGGAGAGCAAAAGCTTCTATGTGCTAACATCAATGTGGAATGAGATCCTGTCAGCTGCCAAGAAAGAGGAAGTTGACACTGACAGAATGATTGATCTGATTGGTACAGATGACATCTATCCCCAGCTCCTTCCAGTGATATATGATTTTAGGAAGTGTTTTGACGAAGCCTATGTCATCCGTTCCAATTCATCCGAAAAGGCAAGAGTTGGGCACTATTCCTTGCAACTTGAGTCCTATACACAAGCATCCTCGCCCATACGTTGCTACATGGATGTTATCCTGCAAAGGCTTTTGCATTCGGTCCTAAGCGGCACTCCGGTCCAATATTCTCCACAAGAGATTGACATTCTGTGTCAGAAGATTGAAGACAGCTGCAAGAAGTCCAATGCGTATGAAAAGAAGGCCGAGATGATCTCCTTTGCCATGAACATGAAGAAACAAAATGCTCCGAAGCTAGCATTTGTTGTTGGTGTAGAAGGAGACAGTTTCAAGCTGTCATTTCCGTTCGACGGGCACTCATTTCCTGACAGTTTGCCTGTTATGTACAGAGATTTGCAACTGGGGGATCAACCACTGTACGATTCAAATGAGAACCACATGACTCTGACATGGAGAAGGCGAGTGTACTCAGTTGACTCTCCCAAAATTCACCAAGAGCTAAAAAAGGTGCAAAATTCAACTGCGTGCATCAAGCTCCCACAAAAGACTTGGCAAGCCATTGTTAATGCAATTGACCAGGAAAGATGGAACATAGCAAGGTCTCTCATACTAGGTGCCCCAACAAAGCACATGGAAAATATAAAGAGTCTGCCAAAACATGCCAAGATGGATTTGCTTGAAGCTGGGAATGACTCCCATAGAACTGCACATGGACAAGATGAAAAAATTGAAATGGAGCACTATGTTGATCTTACCCTACAGTTGAAGCCAGGAGATACACTTCAAGTCCAAATGACATCTGAAATAAATAAAAGTTATTGGACACCAACTGTTCAGTTGGTGTGCATCAAACCAACATTTGAGGTGTGTGTAGACCATGCTCACAGCCCTATCACATGCTTCTCCAAATATGCAGACTGTCCATCCAATAGTAAATATAGCAACGCACAAGAGTATGTGGAGATCTGGCAACCACTTTGTGAGATGGAATCTGCAGACAATGCTGTGGATGAAAGTGACAGCATAATAATTGAGGACCTGGAGCTGGACTTACATTTGAGTCATTTAGCACAGAAAGGAAGTTTTTACCTTCCTCTCAAATTCATTAAAGAATGGGCCATTGAATGCAACCTTAGCAGGTGCTTGCTGTGCATCCGAAAAAGGGGATTGAAACTGACTTCAACCCCTGACCAATCAGAGGAAGTAGTCGACCCTAAGAATTACACATGGGTGGCACATGGTGTTACAACCAACTTTGAAGAACAAAAAAAAAACTCTCCAAATCAAGCCAGAAAAGTGCACTTCTACATCAACCACTTGCCAATGGATACCATTCCAGAGTGTGTCTACCAGAGAAAGACAACATACACAGTTGAGATAATCCCAAAGCTTCTCATAGACATGCAAGTATTACATTAATTAGTATGTGAAAAAAAGAGAGCGCCATGAGCCATGAATTGAACAATTGTGTTTCCGTTTCACTTTATTTTCCAGTAATTATTTAAAACTGTCAACAAAATGGTGCTTAAAATGTAATTACCATTTAAACATGTACCTTTTGTAGTAAATACCTGGTAATTGCTGCACTCAAATATAAAGTGCTACTCACATTTTAAAATATGATTGTTTTTTTAAGTACACTTTAAAATAAGATAATGTAAAAGTACTATCCCATATTTGTATTGGATGGACATAATGTTCCCATAATTAATTCAGTAAATATAATTAATGGTTAACATTTTCTACTGTCTAGACGTAAAGAAATGGCTGTGAAAAATGTTGGGTCTGCAAATGAGCTTGTTCAGAAAATAGCCCTAGGACAACGCATTCCAAAAGGAGGTAAGAACTTTTTTGACATCTGTGGGAATTTACAACAACCTTGTTAAGCTATATGTTTGAAAGTATTGCTTTGCGGTCTTGCAGCTTCGCAATCTGTTGTACCACGGTACCAACTCATGAGGGAAAAGGTACCAGAAGGTCTCCCAGAGCTAAATATGAGTCAAATTGATGCATTGGAGAAAGCTCTGAATAACAATTTCACAATCATACAAGGGCCACCTGGTAAGTTATTAAATGCTACTACCAGAATACCTGAAGCTGTTTATATTGACCATTGCTATGTTTACTGTAATTAAAACTACACACCTGTTTCATAGGGACTGGAAAGACTGTTTTAGGAGTGTACATTGTGTACTGGTTCCTTGTGTTGAACTCTAAAACACCCAAGATATTTGAAAATCCGAAGGACAAGGACAAGAAAGAAGTTGTTCTCTACTGTGGTCCTTCCAACAAGTCTGTCGATGTGGTTGCTGGCAAGTTACTTCATACTTAAATTGAAATTGTCACTACAAAATAATGTATAATACAACCACAACTTGAACATGATCCAAGTTCTCTAGGGAACATTCTAGGGAACATTCTATTAATTCTGAACATTCTGTAGAGTGCCTGGTGAAGTTTGGAGACAAGTTGAAGCCCCTCAGGGTGTACAGCCGACAAATGGAGATTGCGGAGTACCCTTACCCAGGGAGTGTCCTTCAGCTCTCTCCCAGGTCACTACGCCAGGAGCGGTCCAAGGCAGAACTCAGGTATAACAGATACACACATCACTCTACAGCCAACACCACTTTTTCAGGGAATCCATCATCTCTGTCTTTTGATAATCTGATCGTAGGACTGGCTTTATCATGTCTGACCAGTGTCTCAGCATCTTTTTGTCAAACGGTTCACATTACGCAAACTCACCATATCACTGTATTTTACCATATCTGTACCATTGTTAGAGATATTACCTTGCATCATCGCATACGGGAAGAACAAAATCCACATTCCACGGCAATAAAAGAGTTTGACCACAGAATAAAGCTAGCAAGAGAATCAAAGGGAAAGGAGTTGACAGAAGAAGAAGTTGAGGAGTGAGTAAAGAATTTTGCTGTAATGCAATTTTGTAAAAAATGTATTTGAAACCAACATCTGACTGACGTATGTATGTACGCCCATATGTGTTTTCTTCTAGCTACAAAGGGCTTCTGAATAAAGCTCGTGTGTATGAGCTGCAGAGACATGATGTCATTCTGTGCACCTGTACAACAGCCTCCACCCCTAACCTGACTAAAACAGTCAGTGCGCGGCAGATTCTTATTGATGAATGTGCCATGGCAACAGAACCTCAGGCCCTCATCCCTTTGGTCTGCAACAAACCAGAAAAGGTGTGTTAAAATCCATGTATTCATTTACTTTTGTTATAGAATGATATTTCCATGTATGATGAACATAATAAAAAAATCCCCATCAAAATCTGTCAGTTTAAGCTAGAGATATCTGAAAGTTTCAGAGCTACAGCGCTGTTTGTCACACCAGGAGACATCCCGAAAATCTGTAGAGTCTACATTTTACATTTTTACATTTTAGTCATTTAGCAGACTTACAGTTAGTGCATCCATTTATTTTAATTTTTATACTGACCCCCCGTGGGAAATGAACCCACAACCCTGGCGTTGCAAGCGCCATGCTCTACCAACTGAGCTACACGACCCCCACATGCCCCATGGGACTCGTCTGAAGTCGGCAATACTGATGTGCCAACTTCTGTCTGTAGTGTCCGAACCGTTTTGGCTACAAAACTAATATGACCCCACTGTTGAAAGGGGAGACTCAAAAACACAATGGTGTTCTCCATTTTGCTTTACGGTGTCACAGGACTCATCTGTATGTAACCCATACAAATTAATGGAAGTATGGAGGTAGTTTTGTGTCAACAAAGTTAAGGGGTTAAATATGGGAGAAAAATTAAATACTATATTTCCTGAGCTTTCTTACATCTCCTAGATATAGGACAGACACTTCAAAACCTTATAACTTTATGATTTTGTACTGACTTTTTTGACATTTATGTGTTATTCAATGCGTTCCTATGACCTATAGTAGTAAAGGCCAAATTCTATATTTTCTCAAAACATTTTTTTTTTACAATTATATACAGTGCATTCGGAAAGTATTCAGACTCCTTGACTTTTTCCATATTTTGTTACGTTACAGCCTTATTCTAAAATGGATTAAATTGTTTTTTCCCCCCTCATCAATCTACACACAATAACCCATAATGACAAAGCAAAAACAGATTTTTAGACATTTTTGCACATTTATTACAAATAAAAAAACAGATCATATTCACATAGGTATTCAGACCCTTTACTCAGTACTTTGTTGAAGCACCTTTGGCAGCGATTACAGCCTCGAGTCTTCTTGAGTATGACGCTACAAGCTTGGCACACCTGTATTTGGGGAGCTTCTCCCATTCTTCTCTGCAGATACTTTCAAGCTCTGTCAGGTTGGATGGGGAGCGTCGCTGCACAGCTATTTTCAGGTCTCTCCAGAGAAGTTCGATCGGGTTCAAGTCCGGGCTCTGGCTGGGCCACTCAAGGACATTCAGAGACTTGTCCCGAAGCCACTCCTGCGTTGTCTTGGCTGTGTGCTTAGGGTCATTGTCCTGCTGGAAGACGAACCTTCACCCCAGTCTGAGGTCCTGAGCGCTCTGGAGCAGGTTATCATCAAGGATCTCTCTGTACTTTGATCCATTCATCTTTCCCTCGACCCTGACTAGTCTCCCAGTCCCTGCCGCTGAAAAACATCCCCACAGCATGATGCTGCCAACACCATGCTTCACCATAGGGATGGTGCCAGGTTTCCTCCAGACGTGACGCTTGGCATTCAGGCCAAAGAGTTCAATCTTGGTTTCATCAGATCAGAGAATCTTGTTTCTCATGGTCTGAGAGTCTTTAGGTGCCTTTTGGCAAACTCCAAGCGGGCTATCGTGCCTTTTACTGAGGAGTGGCTTCTGTCTGGCCACTCTACCATAAAGGTTTGATTGGTGGAGTGCTGCAGAGATGGTTGTCCTTCTGGAAGGTTCTCCCATCTCCACAGAGGAACTCTGGAGCTCTGTCAGAGTGACCATCGGGTTCTTGGGGACCTCCCTGACCAAAGCCCTTCTCCTCCGATTGCTCTGTTTGGCCGGGCGGCCAGCTCTAGGAAGAGTCTTGGTGATTCCAAACTTCTTCCATTTAAGAATGATGGAGGCCACTGTGTTCTTGGGGACCTTCAATGCTGCAGAAATGTTTTGGTACCTTTCCCCAGATCTGCGCCTCGACACAATCCTGTCTCGGAGCTCTAAGGACAATTCCTTCGACCTCATGGCTTGGTTTTTGCTCTGACATGCACTGTCAACTGTGGGACCTTTATATAGACAGGTGTGTGCCTTTCCAAATCATGTCCAGTCAATTGAATTTACCACAGGTGGACTCCAATCAAGTTGTAAAAACACCTCAAGGGTGATCAATGGAAACAGGATGCACCTGAGCTTAATTTCGAGTCTCATAGCAAATGGTCTGTATACTTATGTAAATACGTTTTTTTTTGTTTAAATGTGCAAAAATGTCTAACCTGTTTTCGCTTTATCATTATGGGGTATTGTGTGTAGATTGATGAGGGAAAACATTAATTTATTCATTTAGAATAGGGCTGTTACGTAACAAAATGTGGAAAAAGTCAAGGGGTCTGAATACTCTCCGAATGCACTGTACTTAAAGGGGGCCTAAAATTCAAAATCAAATAGATAAATTATCCATTGTATGACCTTCTTAAAACAATTTCATATGTTAGCTTAGTAGAACCTTAGCTTAGGCTTTAAGGTTAAAATCATTTTTGTATGTTTGTGATGCTGCCTATTTATGTATAGTGTATAGAATGTCGTCATTAATAACACGGTTTTCCATGATTGTTCAATCCAGCAATGGCTCATACGACGTTCACCTCAGTGGGGCTCCTCAGTAAGATGCTCCGTATGATCATTTGTTTGACTTAGTTTGACAATCACATTTTGGAGTTTTATACTCTTAGAAAAAAAAAGTTGCCATCTAGAACCTTAAAGGGTTCTTTGGCTGTCCCCATAGGAGAACCCTTTGAAGAACACTTTTTGCTTGCAGGTAGAACCCTTTTGGTTCCAGGTATAACCCTTTTGGGTTCCATGTAGAACCCTTTGTACAGAGGGTTCTACATTTTAAGAATGTGAGTGTGAGCATTTCTTTAAAAACAATGTAGATTTATTTTCTTAGTTTAACCATTGAGTTTGGGCATGTAAAGAGTGCATCGATACAGAATCTGTTAAACTAAGCCTTAACAGCAACCCTGTTTTCTCACCTGCATCACAAGCAGATGAGGCTGGAGGGAGGAGCTATTGGATGACAGGATCATTGTAATGGCTGGAATGGAATAAATGGAACGGTATCAAACACATGAAACATATGGAAACCACATGTTTGACTGTGTTACATTTATTCCATTCCTATATGTTTATTAAAGGTCATCACCACATTTGCAAGTGATGAAGATTGATGACGAAATAACCTCTTTCCACTTCCTAGATTGTGTTGCTCGGTGACCACAAGCAACTACGTCCCATCGTTAAGAATCAACTTCTGAGGAAGTTAGGGATGTCAAAGTCTCTGTTTGAGCGCTACTTTGAGCGCCGGTCCCATACAGTGATGCTGGATACCCAGTACAGAATGGTAAGAGGGGGGAAATGTTTGGGCTATGAATTTATCGTGGCCTAATTCACATCATATAGTCTAATTTGCCAAATGTTTATCAAAATATCAAATGCCACTGTGCCTTTGACTGCACAGATATGCATTTTGATGCACATAGATTAATATCCGATGACAAAGTACATAGTATTCTCCATTGTTTACCCTTTTTTAGCATGAAGATATATGCAAGTTCCCATCTGAGGAATATTATGAAGGAAAACTGAAGACTGTAGTGAAGCCCTCAAATAGTGTCCTTCAGGCTGACAGACGGCAGACGCACATTGTTTTCGGGAACGTCAGTGGAGAAGAGGTCAGCCTGGTTGTGAGCACGGAAAAGGGAAATGAAAACTCCAAAGCGAATAGAGAGGAGAGAGACATAGTGGTAAGGAACCCCTTTTGGTTTGTCTTAACTCACACTTCAACACCTTTAACTTCAACACCTACGGCTCAAATCTTGCCATTCTACTGGTATAGTCAGGTGAGTCACTTTCCCAAACGGAACTTATATGATTCATGGTTTTCTTTTTGTTCATCACAGGTCTGGCTCGCCAACCGACTGGTAAAAGAATCCAAAATAAAACAACAGAATATTGCAATTCTATCACCCTACAACGCCCAGGTGTCTGAAATTAAGAAAAAACTGGATGAACTCAAAATGGACAAAATCACTGTCAGCACCATCACAAAAAGTCAAGGTGACCATTTTTCTCTCTTACTTTCCCCTCTGTTTTATCTTGGTTGTGATTCTATGGTTGTCCCCCATTGTCCTTTAGTGAACTTTAATCTGATTAGGTTAGCCATTGCTATAACAAATGCTGCTTCGTTTCCAATGCAGGAAGTGAATGGTGCTACGTCATACTGTCCACTGTGCGCTCATTACCCAGCAAGGAGATTGAGATCGAGCCGGACAGGGCCTGGAGGTCCAAACATGTGGGCTTTGTCGGCGACCCCAACCAGATCAATGTGGGCATCACCAGGGCCAAAGAGGGACTGTGCATTATCGGTGAGCAAGACTTTTCATCCAGGGCTTAGTGTTAAGATCTATTAGAACAAGACTAATCTAAACTACAGTGTCATTTTTAAATGTATTTTCTTCCTTTCCTAAAGGTAACCAAGAGTTGTTGAGCCGCAGTGGCGCTTGGAGACAGCTCCTCAAACATTATAGAGCAAGGAACTTTGTCACAGAAGCTGACAAGATCTCTGTGCGCAAAGTAGCCTGTAAGCACGGTCTACATTGAAAGACATGGTCTCGGCACCGGATCAGTGCACTATGAATATACATTTTTTAATTAAATTTTAGAGACAAATGTATTATGTGCTTTTAGGTTCTATATTGTGCAATGTTGAATCAAATGAGTTAAATACTGCACTCACTGTCGTTTTTAAGTGACCTTTAAATGATCTGTCAATTATATTAGTGTATATTTTATTATTGCTAACTCTACTGTTTGTTCAACTGTATACACATACAGTATATATTTTAAGTCGGAAGTTTACATACACCTTAGCCAAATACATTTAAACTAAGTTTTTCACAATTCCTGACATTTTATCCTAGTCAAAATTCCCTGTCTTAGGTCAGTTAGGATCACCACTTTATTTTAAGAATGTGAAATGTCAGAATAATAGTAAATCATTATTTATTTTAGCTTTCTTTTATTTCATCACATTCCCAGTGGGTCAGAAGTTTACATACACTCAATTAGTATTTGGTAGCATTGCCTTTAAATTGTTTAACTTGGGTCAAACATTTCGGATAGCCTTCCACAATCTTCCCACCATAAATTGGGTGAATTTTGGCCCATTACTCCAGACAGAGCTGGTGTAACAGTCAGGTTTGTAGGCCTCCTTGCTCTCACACACATTTTCAGTTCTGCCCACAAATGTTCTATTGGATTGAGGTCAGGGCTTTGTGATGGCCACTCCAATACCTTGACTTTGTTGCCCTTAAGCCATTTTGCCACAACTTTGGAAGTATGCTTGGGGTCATTGTCCATTTGGAAGACCCATTTGCGACCAAGCTTTAACTTCCTGACTGATGTCTTGTGATGTTGCTTCAATATATCCACATCATTTTCCTTCCTCATGATGCCATCTATTTTGTGAAGTGCACCAGCCCCTCCTGCAGCAAAGCACCCCCACAGCATGATGCTGCCACCCCCGTGCTTCACGGTTGGGATGGTGTTCTTCGGCTTGCAAGCCTTCCCCTTTTTCCTCCAAACATAACGATGGTCATTATGGCCAAACAGTTCTATTTTTGTTTAATCAGACCAGAGGACATTTCTCCAACAAGTACGATCTTAGTCCCCATGTGCAGTTGCAAACCGTAGTCTGGCTTTTTTATGGCGGTTTTGGAGCAGTGGCTTCTTCCTTGCTGAGCGGCCTTTCAGGTTTTGTCAATATAGGACTCGTTTTACTGTGGTTATAGATACTTTTGTACCTGTTTCCTCCAGCATCTTCACAAGATCCTTTGCTGTTGTTCTGGGATTGATTTGCACTTTCCGCACCACAGTACGTTCATCTCTAGGAGACAGAACGCGTCTCCTTCCTGAGCGGTATGAGGGCTGCGTGGTCCCATGGTGTTTATACTTGCATACTATTGTTTGTACAGATGAACGTGGTACCTTCAGGTACCTATCATACTAAATGTAGTGGCTCTGATTTACGTACAGAATAATACAGAATAATACATAATGTACTGACCAGGTTGCTGCGTTATACACCCACCCATCCACCCCGACCAATCAACCTCCTTTAGTTTTTGCCTTAAGTAACCATCGGTCTTATGTAACCATACCAAACGTAACATATCATATTACACTGAACAAAAATATCAATGCAACATGCAACAACTTCAAAGATTTTACTGGGTACAGTTCTTATAAGGAAATCAGTCAATTGAAATAAATTATTAGGCCCTAATCTATGGATTTCACATGACTGGGAATACAGATTTCCATTTGTTGGTCACAGATTTTAAAAAAGTAAGGGCCTGGATCAGAAAACCAGTCAGTATCTGGTGTGACCACCATTTGCCTCATGCAGCGCGACATCTTCTTCACATAGAGTTGATCAGGCTGTTGATTGTGGCCTGTGGAATGTTGTCCCACTCCTCTTCAATGGCTGTGCGAAGTTGCTGGATATTGGCGGGAACGGGAACACGCTGTTGTACATGTCGATCCAGGGCATCCCAAACATGCTCCATAGGTGACATGTCTGGTGAGGCCATGGAAGAATTGAGACATTTTCAGCTTCCAGGAATTATGTACAGATCGTGTACAGATTGTGTACAGATCCTTGCAACATGGGGCCTTGCATTATCATGCTGAAACATGAGGTGATGGCGGCGGATGAATGGCACAACAATCTCGTCACGGTATCTCTGTGCATCCAAATTGCCATTGAGAAAATGTAATTGTGTTCGTTATGCCTGCCCATACCATAATCCCACCGCCACCATGGGGCACTCTGTTTACAACATTGACATCAGCAAAATGCTCGCCCACACGACACCATACACGCTGTCTCCCATTTTCCTGGTACAGTTGAAATCCGTGAAGAGCACACTTCTCCAGCATGCCAGTGGCTATCGAAGGTGAGCATTTGCCCAATACTGCCAAATTCTCTAAAACGACGTTATGGTAGACAAATGAACATTCAATTCTCTGGCAACCGCTCTGGTGGACGTTCCTGCAGTCAGAATGCCAATTGCACGCTCCCTCAAAACTTGAGACATCTGTGGTATTGTGTAACAAACTGCACATTTTAGTGGCCTTTTATTGTTCACAGCACAATGTTGCCTTTATATTTAGATTCAGTGTAAATGAAGTGTTTCTGATCTACGTACAGAATAATACAAAATGCTCTGAGACCAGGTTGGTCAGCAAAAACACAACTGTTATTCCTCACACTTATTGTATTATTCCACTTCTTCCCAATGTTGCCAGTGTAATCACATATTTGAAATCTGATATGCCTACTTGTGTCTTTGAAAATTAATTATATGAGGCTATGTATTTTTTTCAGCTATTCATGGACAGTTTTGAATAAGTCAATACAAATAAGCATTGGATATTAAATGCTGCATGTATGAAATATGATTTGACATTTTAGAGGAACTCACAACTCATAAACGCATCATATTTTGTCTATGTAGAGTAATATGATGGTAAGGGTCTTCAACTAGTATCCGTGCTTCCAACCTTCCCACTATTTCTAGCATTTGCCTGTCTCCCTATCTAATTTCATTACTGTCTTAATAAAGTGTCCTAAAAAATATTTAAACAAATATTAGCATACCATAAATGTAATCCCCCCCAAATCACAAAGTAACACATTTTTGAGTGTTAATTTAATGTTCAAAGCATCATGAATACACCTGACCTGTGGTTTTTATTTTGAAAATGTTCACCCTGGTCATAGGCCTAAGCCATGTCAAAATACGTAGAGTTGCAGGAAATTAGCTTTAGAAAAGTACAATTTTCCTATCTAGGGGTGCCAGAGGACAATGAAATTCACATAGCAAATCTCACTCAAAGCTTTCTTCAAAGGTTGGCAGCCCTGCCAATGGTTGAATTTTAACATTCATATAAAAGGCATTTGTTGAATATTTTAACAATTTGTTGAATAAATAAACATTGTACACATTTCATGAAGTTGTTCTTTATTAGCTATCTAGAAAGCATTCTCCTAAAACATGGCGGAATGAGACACTGCTTCACTACAAAATTATCCCAATGAATGGAGATAGCCGACTCATCTGAAGTCACATTTGTGGATTGTAATACGACAGGTCAACACAGAATACAGATCCATAAGCACTTTTTCAATACGCAAATGCACATTCCACAGTTGTAAATATTAGGGATTTATCTGAACATTTGCTCACAAATCATTCTACATTTGTTCAAATTGTAGTTTTATTTGTGAGCTATGGTGAATGTATTTACAGATCATGAATTTATTTGGGAAATCTTTTACATATTCACGGATCATAGTTTTATTTGTGAGTTAGGTTGAATATACACACGGATTGTGATAGACATACTTACAGAAAAAATAAATACTTAAATAAACAAACTTCACTCCATAACTCCCCCACCAAGGGACACTCAACAACTAGGGGGAGGGACAACCAGTATAGATAAAATCAGAATGTTTGTAAACAAATCCGTTCTGGTAGTTCCGGGTTGCGAGTGTCGGAAAGCTGGACTCGAGAACTCATAGGAATGCATAGGAAACCAAAAAAGTAAGCTCCCATCTCAAATGTTCTGAGAATTTAAAATAAATACATCCTTATTCTGTGGCCATCTTTTATTTGTTTTATAGAGGCTGATGTCAGCGGTGTATAAGGCAAGGTTCAGCAACCACATTGAGTTATTACAGACTTGAACAGGCACATTGGAAATTGTGGATGGATGGACAAACCATGGTTCTGCTTTCAAGCTGTGGTGTCTGTATTATTATGAATGTACACTGAGTGTACAAAACATTAGAAACACCTTTTTAATATTGAGTTGCACCCCCTTTTGCCCTCAGAACAGCCTCAATTCGTCAGGGCATGGACTCTACAAGGTGTTGAAAGTGTTCCACAGGGATGCTAGCCCATGTTGACTGCTTCCCACAGTTGTGTCAAGTTGTCTGGATGTCCTTTGGGTGGTGGACCATTCTTGATACACACGGGAAACTGTTGAGTGTGAAAAACCCAGCAGCGTTGCAGTTCTTGACACACTCAAACTGGTGCGCCTGGCACCTACTACCATAGATTAAATATTTTGTCTTGCCCATTCACCCTCTGAATGGCACAAATACACAATCCATCTAAATTGTCTCAAGGCTTAAAAATCCTTCTTTAACCTGTCTCCACACTGATTGAAGTGGATATAACAAGTGACATCAATAAAGGATCATAGTTTTCACCTGGTCAGTCTATGTCATGGAAAGAGCAGGTGTTCCTAATGTTTTGTACACTTAGTGTATAATACTAAACCAAATCATACAACCATTTTTTATAATTTCCCAAAAATGTACTGTTGCCTTTTTAATTCCTGAAGAAGTCAATGCAACAACTTTGATTTTAGCAGGATAGTACCTAATGGTTTCAATTGTTCATGTGGAAGAAGGGTTTCCAGTCAAAAGTTTCCCCAACATGCTGTCATAATAGCTGTGATATAACTCAACCTTAGTTTTACCAGTTTGTCACTATACACAGATGGGCCTAACTGTAAGCTTCAGA